TCACCATTTTTCTCAGTAAATATATTTCTAAAGGTGCTGTTGACATGAAATTTTCACCAGATGTCGGTAACAACCCAAGTAATACATACAAGAAAACAAAACAAACAAGTTCAGAAATTAAGTTCTGTGAAATAAAGTAAAATGACCCAGGGAAAAAGTATTGAACACGCTTACTGAATTTTATTTAATACTTTGTACAAAAGCCTTTGTTGGTAATGACAGCTTCAAGAAGCCTCCTGTATGGAGAAACTAGTCGTATGCATTGCTCAGGTGTGATTTTGGCCCATTCTTCCACAGAATCTTCAAATCTTGAAGGTTCCATCAGATTTTTATGAAGAATGTCTCGGTACATGTTTCCATTCATCCTTCCTTCAATTATATGAATTTTGCCAGTGCTACACCATGATGTTTTGGGGTGATGTGCAGTGCCATTTGACCTCCAAACATGGTGTGTGTTATAACATCCAAAGACTGCAATTTTGGTCTCATCTGACCAGACTATATTCTCCCAGTATTTCACAGGCTTGTCTAAATGTTGTGCAGCAAACTTTAAACAAGCTTCAACATGCTTTTTCTTCAGCAATAGAGCCTTGCGTGGTGAGCGTGCATACAGGCCACGGTGGTTGAGTGCATTACTTATTGTACTTATTATTTTCTTCGAAACAATAGTACATGCTAATTCCAGGTCTTCTGAAGCTCTCCACAAGTGATCCTTGGCTCTTGGGACAACTCTTCTGATAATTCTTTTCACTACTCTGTCAGAAATCTTGCGAGGAGCACCTGGTCGTGGCCGGTTTATGGTGAAATGTTGTTCTTTCCACTTCTGGATTATGGCCCCAACAGTGCTCACTGGAACATTCAGAAGTATAGAAACCCTTCTGTAACCAACGCCATCAGTATGTTCTGCAACAATAAGGTTGCGAAGGTCTTGAGAAAGCTCTTTGGCAGCAAATTGAAGGAAGGATGAATGGGAAAATGTACCGAGACATTCTTGCAAAAATTCTGCTGCCAAGATATTAATTTCCACTGACAAGGGGCAAGATTGCTTTCTAATTACTGATAGATTTCAGCTGGTGTCTTGGCTTATCATGCCTTTTTGCTCCTCCCTTTCTTCATGTGTTCAATACTTTTTCCCTGTGTCATTTCATTTTATTACACATAACTTAATTTCTGAACTTGTTTGTTTTGTTTTCTTTGTATGTATGGATTACTTGGATTGTTACCGACACCTGGTGAAAATTTCATGTCAGCAGCACCTTTAGAATTATATTTATATTTATAAAAATGGTGATGTGTTCCATACTTATTTTACCCGCTGTATTATTCCTTGCATAGATAGATATGACATTTTAAAACATCACACTATTTCAAAAGCAACACACAATAATGGGCCTTTCAACAATCTACACAAGCCATATACAGTACATCACAAAACAAAATCACAGTGGAAAATGCACACATATTTCTCTAAAATCACACTTCTGCCAAAGCTTTTCAGTGCCTTCTGAGCTTATCCATCAATCTACAAAGTCCACCATATAGTGTACCAAATCATATTGTATATTACTGCATGTTCCTACTGTAAGAGCTCTTGTAACTATTTCTATCAGACAAAAATGTGTTTCTATTTGTTCAATTAAGGCAATATTTGGGTTGCACCACTGAAATTAGGATGAAGTCAGGAACTCCAAGATTTAGACTACAACACTTTCGCATCACAAACAGCACAAAATACAGTGTGTTTCGACAGATGATTCATCTCCCATGATGCATGATGTATAAGCACAGTGCTGAGAGGTTATTTTGTGGTTGTTTTAAGGCTGTTTCAGGTCAGTATTTGAGTCAACAGTGTGTTGAATCAGAGGCTAGAGGGCAGTGAAGACTGTTCCTGAGCTTGTGCATTTCATCAGGATCTGAACTGTGCAGGCATACAATAGAGGTAGTCCTATATACTGTAGTATTTAAAAAATCTAGGAATATAAATTCTTCATTACATACCATGGATTTCAATCATCATTCTCAGTACAAAACACAACTTATTTGAATTAATCAAACTGTTAGAAATTTTTAAAAAGCAATATCAATTTTAATCTTTAGATTTAGATTACAAATAAAAAACTAAAATGAGCTTTTTCACATTTTTAAGTGGTCACACACACACACACACACACACAACTGTTTCAAAGGTTTGGGGCAAAAATACAGTAAAATATATATAATGAAATGCATGTAAAATAACAGTTTTCTATTGTAATATATATATATAATAATTTTTTTATTATTTTCAATTAATTTATAATTTAGTGATTATATATAGTAATTTGTTCCTGTGATGTCAAATCCAAATTTTACTCTGGTCTTCAGTGTCCCATGATCCTTCAGAAATATTATATATATATATATATATATATATACACTTTAAAAACAATCTTATTGACCACAAACATTTGAATTGTAGTGTTATATAGGGGGTATATATAGATATGTTTGTTATTATATAAAGTATTTGTTATATAAAGTGTATATTTCTGATATTGTGACTTGTTACTGTCTGAGACAATTTTAGTAAACTTTTGGCCTTATAGTCCTGTGGTGTTACATATATATATATACATATACATATACATATATATATATACATACAGTATATTTTAAATGGTCATAAAACTCCATTATATTTATTCAAGAATTAGAAAAATCAAGTTGACATGTAGATAAAGTACAGTACATGACAAACATGTGAGTGTCATAGTGACTGTTAAGAGAAAGCATTACTTGCATGCTTTTCTAATAGCGTAAGCAGCTAGTATTTCTCTACAAGTGGTCATGAAGGCCTGCTGTTTTTCATAATATGCAGCCTCATTAATAAACGTGGGGTACACTGTGTTGGCACCTTCATAAAGGACTGTTCTCCCATCGAACGTTAGGAACATAGGGTCACCCCGGTTCAAAGGCTCCCAGTCACAGTCCTACACAGAAAGAGAAAGAGAGGGAATGGAACAGGACCATTACTGTGGAGAATAAGTGAAGCCTGGGAGTCAAAACAAGCACAGCAAACATTTGAGTCATAGGACACATTTTCTTACATGTGTTTCCCCCTCCCTGCATCCCTGTCATAAAGAGCAATGCTTTTATTTGTCGCTTGAGGGTATATGCTTTCCTTTCAAAAGAAACACACTTCTCTATGCATTTACTCGATGGTCCATTTAGAATACCTGCAGATGAGGATGCACCATAGCTGTGATGTTGCCATTGGTGTCTCTGGGGTAGTCCATTCTCTCCTGGACTCTGAAAACATCCACTGTACATGGAGGAAACTCTACACCTATGGGAAAAAAAGGAAAGATTTGACATTGTCTGTTAAAGGAATAGTTCAGCCAGAAATTAAAATTTCCTTAAAATTATGCACCCTCAGGTCATTCAAGATGTAGATTTGTTTATTCATCGGAACAGATTTGGAGAAATGTAGCATTATATCGCTTGCTCACTAATGGATCCTCTGAAGTGAATGGGTGCCGTCAGAATGAGAGTCCAAACAGCTGATAAAAACATTACAATGATCCACAAGTAATCCACAAAACTCCAGTCCATCAATTAACAACCTGTGAAGTGAAAAGCTCTGTGTTTGAAATAAAAAAAAAATCCATCATTAAGGTGTTTTCATTGCTTCTGGGGAAAATGCGAGTCATTAATCCATAATAATGCTTCCTCTAATGAAAAAGTCCATTCCTTGTTGTCCTCACATAAAAATCCATTGACACATTTGTGACACAACTGTTTTTGCTCGCATTTTGGCCAGAAGTGACAGGATTACTTGTGGGTTATTGTGATGTTATTATCAGCTGTTTGGACTCTCATTATGACGGCACCCATTCACTGCAGAGGATCCACTGAATCCACAAACTCATCTACTGTTTGTTTATTTCACTGGTTTGCACTCTATCTGCCATGTGCCTTGTGCTACTTTAGCTATTTTTTTTACATGTCCTTATTTGTATAGTTGTATTTTATATATATTTAATCTGTATTTATCTGTATTTTTATGTTCTACTGTTAGTGTTATCTGTATGCACCAAGGGTCTGAGAGTAACGCAATTTCAATTCTCTGTATGCATGTGCTGTACATGTGGAAGAATTGAAAATAAAGCAGACTTTGACTACATCTTGGATGGCCTGAGGATGAGTACATTTTCAGCAAATTTAAAAAAAAATTCTTTATGCAACCAATTCTTCTAAGTATTAATAAGACAATAAAGTAATTAAAATATTAAGCCACTGGGCTTACATAGAGATGCATTACATAGTTAAATCTAGAAACATGTTTATTATGCTTAGGTCATGCTGTATTTTTTCAGCTTTGGCTGCTTCAGCGGGGAGTGGGATCAAGCTGGCCTAAAAATGTTATAAAAGCAAAATCTTTTTGTAAATAAGCAGACCTATTTGCCTGCTTATCTCTGTTCATTTGTCTAGCAATCCGGAGTATTTTTCCATCCTGTACCGTGTTAATAAAAACATTTTAATAATATGTTCTAGCCCTCATGTGATAAACGTTCAGCATTGTGAGTATGTCAGACATGTGCTGACATGGACAGTCACTAAAAATATCACTTTCCAATTTGCTAAAAAGAGTTTGGCACTCCTCACATTGCGGTACAGTGTTGCCATTATGATCTTCCTTCACGTTATCACTATCCATAAAAAACAACATATCTCATATTTCAAGTTAATTGGAACGTCTGAAATGACAGTAATATGTTGTTTCACAGCCACATAACACCCTTACAAGGAAGACACGTGCTGAAGTGCTCCTCATGTTATACTAAGCATTTATTTCTTTACATTTACTCTTTGATGAGTTTATCTTTGATATGTTGTTTCATTTGAATAGTGGTTTCACTTTGTCAAACATAGGGTAAAATGACAAAAATATGAACCCTGGCATGTGGCAGTTTATTTTTATAGTGATACAAGCCATTGATTATATTATTTTATAATATGCTATTCAAAAGTTTGGGGTCAGTATGTTTTTTAAACAAACACTTTTACTCAGCATGGACATGTAAATTAATCAAAAGTGACAGACATTTATAATGTAAAAACTATTTCTTTCTGGAAAAATGTATCACAATTTAAAATATTAAGCTGCACAACATAGATCATAATAAAAAAATCGTGAATGATTTCTAAAGGATCCTGTTAATGGCTGCTGAAAATTCAGCTTTGCCATCACAGGATTGGCATGTTAATATTAAAATAGAAATATTTTAAATAGCAATGTTCACAAATTTACTGTTTTGACTGCTTTTGTGGGCATATGAGACAAGCTATGTACACAAGTTATGAAAAGATGAACATATGCATTAAAAAACCTGCTCAAGGTTTATGTTACAAATCCCTTAAAGTGTAATATGAGTAATATTAAATGTCTTCTTAAAACAGTTGGATCACTTTGCTGTTAGCTTGTGTTCATAACAGATGCCTCTTGCGTCATTCAAATCCCTGAGTCCTCTAATTAATAGTTTCCATTATGTCAGATCTCTTGTTTTGCTTGTTATGTTGATGTGGTCCAAACATGGTTCCACACTGGCAAACGAAAGCACGTCTGAGCGCTCACAATGAGACATTCATCCACAACAATGCAGCCCCTCTACACAGCATGACACTACAAAACCCAGCAAGCTACTAATGACATGGAAACTAACCAACTAGCAAACAAGTATTCAAGTCACAAAACAGCAAAACCAGAAGAGAAACCAGCCACGCTTGCCCAGCTCAACATGTTCCTGCTCAGTGTGAAGAATGGAGAAATGTGTAGCCATGTCAGGCTGAAAGTACACGTGACTACCTTGTTTAAATGTTTCCACAGTTGAGAGGGAAAAAAATAGGAAGATAAATGCCTGAAGAAGAAAACCGTCTGAAATGCAGAGGTCGGACAGTCATATTTAAATAAGTGCTTGCTGACTCAATGACCTGAGAGCATAACCGTTTGTCTTGAAATGCCACACACTAGCCTGGCTGAGAAACGCATGACCACAGGGGAAAGTTAGTTATGCAAACATGAAGCATCTATAAACGATATGAGAAACACATTATTCAAATGCATTATTGAAAACTACTCAAAACGTGAATTGTGTGATATCTGAAGACATTATGGATCCATACTGTCACTGCACATTTACTATTGGTTTATATTAGAAAATAATCCTATTGTATAGGAAATATAGGAATCTGACACTGAAGACTAGGGTAATAATGGCTGCTGAAAATTCAGCTTTACCATCACAGGAATAAATTACTTTTTTAACATGTATGAAATATAAGTTATTTTAAAATTTTAATATTCACAATATTATTGTTTTATTATATTTTTGATCAAATAAATGCAGCCTCTGTGAGCATTAGAAACCTCTTTCAAAAATTACATTTTAATATATACAAAATATTAAATAATTATTTAAATGGTAATATTCAAAATATTGCTGGTTTTCATGGAAGCCTGTTTCCTCTACAGAATAAAATAGGTACTTGCTTATCTCAGATGTGGCTTTTAATGATGAGACCTTTTTTGTAATCAGGCTCTCAAAAAGTATATAACAATTTGGATATAGATTTATCGGCCAACATATCGGTTATCGGCTTTCAAAAATAAAGAATAATCGGTTATCGGTATCGGCCAAAATTTTCATATCGGTGCATCCCTAACAATTTTCTTTTTTTTTTTCACGCAACTCTCAAAAAGAAGTCAGAATAGTAACATACAAACTATATAAACTCGTAATTCTAAGCAGAAAAGTCTGAATTGTGAGATATAATCATGCAATTGTGAGATAAAAAGTCAGAATTGTGGGATAAAAACTAGGACTTACATTTATTTTTTATTCCCCAGCAGAAAAAAAGCACTGCTGGATTTGTAAACTCAGAGTTGCAAGAATAAAGTCAGAATTCAGTTTTTTTTTTACTTTTTTCGAAATTCTGAGAATTATGAGGTACAAAAAGGCTAATATCCATAATTTTGCTGTATTGTTTATCAAGTAAATGCAGCCTCAGTGAGCATAAGAGACTTCTTTCAAAAGCATTTTCTTACAGACCCCAAACTTTTGGGCAGTGAGTGTGTCTCTAAGTGTGTTTATATATAGTATAACTGTTTGTCTTGAAATGTCACACACAATCCTGGCAGAGAAACAGATGGCCACAGTGGAGAGAAAGTTACGTAAATGTGAAGCACCTATTGACAGTACATCATCATTCAAATAGCGTTATTTCTCATTGAATTGTGTGACACATCTGAAAAACACAACATTATGCTTCCATACTGTCACTATCAATACTATCACACATGATTACTATAGGTTTATATTAGAAAATAATCCTACTGTATACGAAATATAGAAACTAATCCCACTGTGGCCACCTCAGTTGACTTTAAAATCCCTTTATTAAAACACATTCCAGGTTCAATGCATTAAGCGTGCTGATCTCTGCTTAAAGGGATAGTTCACCCAAAAATGAAGATTTTGTCATTAATTTTCTCACCCTCATGTTGTTCCAAACCCGTAAGACCTCCGTTCATCTTCGGAACACAAATTAAGATATTTTTGATGGAATCTGAGAGCTCTCTGACCCTCCCATAGACAGCAAGGGTCCTTACACGATCAAGGTTCAGAAACGTAGGAAGGAGATGTGTAAAATTATTTATGTGACATCAGGGGTTCAAATGTAATTTTACGAAGCTACGAGATTACTTTTTGAGTGCAAAAGAAAAAAAAAAACGACTTTATTCAACAATTCGTCTCCTCGGCATCACCCTAGCGGTATTTTGGAGAGTATCCACTGAACGTAAATTGCGTATGCTGTTTTGTGTCAGCTGTGCCACGCGTTTACGCTTTGATTTTAACAAAAACAACATATCCGCATGGTACAGCTGACACAAAACAGCATACGCAATTTACGTTCAGTGGATACTCTCCAAAACGGCACCAGGGTGATGCAGAGGAGAAGAATTGTTGAATAAAGACTTTTTTTTTTTCTTTTGCGCACAAAAAGTATTCTCGTAGCTTCGTAAAATTACGGTTGAACCCCTGATGTCACATAGATTATTTTACACATCTCCTTGCTACGTTTCTGGACCTTGATCGTGTAAGGACCCTTGCTGTCTATGGGAGGCTCAGAGAGCTCTCAAGATTCCATCAAAAATATCTTAATTTGTGTTCCGAAGATGAACTGAGGTCTTACGGGTTTGGATCAACATGATGTTGAGTACCGTATTGACCCGAATATAAGACAATGTTTTTTTCTTGGAAATACATCTGAAAAAACGTGGTCGTCTTATATTCAAGGTCTAGACTTTGACATGTCAATAATACACCCACAACAATAGGTGGCGCCAAATACGCATAAAACGAGTGTGCCATGAAATACGTAATGTAATGCGTGTTGTAAAGATCGCGAGTAAAAACAAAGGAAAAAGAAAACCTTACAGCTGCATGAGTCGTGACTGTCACGTTAGCCTGATGGGACCAAACTCCCTTTGTGATTTTAAAACGTAAGACAGTACCCAGATTTGAAGACTACAGTAAGATTTAACTTCTACTCTTAATAAGATTTTGGTAGGCTACTATTAGATGGATAGCCTAAATGTCCTAATTCAGATGGGCTACCTGTTTAGTTTTTTTAATGGTATATCAAAAAGTGTATATTTTTTAAAAATGTGATTGTTGGTACATTTTACCAGTTTTTACCATACTTTCAAAACAAAAATTAAAATAAGAAAAATATGCAATATGAAAATAATTGAAGACAAAATGTGTTTTACTGAGAAAAAACAAGATTTGGTTTTTAAAAAGCTTTTTTCCAAAAGGTACATCTGGAAAAAGGGGGGTCGTCTTATATTCGGGCCAATACGGTAATTAATGACAAAATTTCCATTTTTGGGTGAACTATCCCTTTAACCTCCAGTGACCTCACCACTATTGAAGAGCTCGATGAAGTCCAGCGCATGCTTCAGTATCGTCCTCATGGATTCGAATACATTGCTCCTCAAAACACCCTGTGGCTGAGGGCCCACCTCAAGACCTGCAACACAAGCACATCAATATTTGTCACTGGTTCGCACAGGTCTATTCTCATCACAGACAGCAGTAAAGCACCATGTTAAATGAGGTGCAGCTGGTACTGTGTTAAGTTTCCACTATAATATTAATTCATGTAGAAAGGAGTCTCATCAAATGACACAGAATGAGCTCTAGAGGTCTACAGAATTATCTGCAGAGGCTCTGGATGCTTTCATGATAACTAAACTTTTCATATTATCCCTGGTTATTCCACTTCTTTGCAGCCGGCTGACTTTCAGGGGTAATATTAAACTTGATTTAACATTAACTTTGACCTGCGTATCCAAGAAATTTTGTACTCACCAATAGGGTGTTTGGCCACAGAGCGTGTGGTTGAATACTTCAGCTGTGGGTGTTCGTTTAACAGTACTGAACAGGTGTGGGGAACCATAGCTTTCTGTAGGGGGAAGAGCACAGGTGTCTGTGAAAAGATGGCTTTTTTTGACTTATTTTAAGACATTAAGCAAAATCTTTGTTGGTAAGATTTTTTTTTAATGCTCTCCAAGGCTGCAGCTATTTGATGAACAATACAGTAAAAACAGTAACATTGTGATGTATTATTGCAATTTAAAATAACGGTTTTGCATTTTAATATTTTATACATGTTATTTATTCCTGTGATGCAATGCTGAATTTTCAGCAGTCATTACTTTAGTCTTCTAGTGTCACATTATCCTTCAGAAAGCATTATAATATGCTGATTTGGTGCTCAAGAAACATTTCCTATTACTGTCTGTCAACATTGTTTGATGAATAGAAATAAATCTTAAATGTCTTTACTGTCACGTTTGACCAGTTTAATATGTCCTTGCTGAATGAAAGTGTTTAAAAAAGAAAAAGAAAAAAGTCTTACGTTTTGAACTGTAGTATAGGTAAATAACTATTTTAATAACATTGTACAATATAATTGGAGCTAGCTTCTTACTTTAATATAATGCACCATCTGAAGGTTGAAGAGGTCTGTTGAGCTTTCCAGGATGAGGGTGGAGCCCATGTTTGAGGTGGTGTTGTGAAGGTCAAAGATGGCATCATATGCATCTGAGCTTCCTTTGGGTCCAAACATCCGATTAATTTCCTTGGCCCTCTGGACTTCATATGGCAGACCTTCAACATCTGGAGCACTGTGTTTGGAAAAATCCTTATAAATATTAACAATACAACAATCATAAACAAGACCTAACAAAATGGTCAATTAATACAATAATTTATATTCAATACAAAACACAAACAGAAAATACTTTTTGAAGCATGTTTAAGTAGTTTTAATTCCACAATTTGTGACTTAAATAAACATGCACCAGCAAAATATAAGACACCTAGAAGTTCAAACCTACCCAAGACCTTGAAATCTTTGTCCTAAAGGAAAATAGCATGGGACTGGTGTTAAAAATCCCTTGAATAGCAGTTAGGGTCGGGTGTATCGTTAACTTTTTTAACAGAGCAGTGGATGACAAAAAGATCAGCCATTACACAAATAAAAACGTATTTACTTTTTTCTTTTTGAAAAAGTACATTTCTAGTTTAGATTTAGAATATATACATATACAGGTACATCTCAATAAGTTAGAATGTCGTGGAAAAGTTCATTTATTTCAGTAATTCAACTCAAATTTTGAAACTCGTGTATTAAATAAATTCAATGCTCACAATGAAGTAGTTTAAGTCTTTGGTTCTTTTAATTGTGATGATTTTGGCTCACATTTAACAAAAACCCACCAATTCACTATCTCAACAAATTAGAATATGGTGACATGCCAATCAGCTAATCAACTTAAAACACCTGCAAAGGTTTCCCGAGCCTTCAAAATGGTCTCTCAGTTTGGTTCACTAGACTACACAATCATGGGGAAGACTGCTGATCTGACAGTAGTCCAGAAGACAATCATTGACACCCTTCACAAGGAGGGTAAACCACAAACATTAATTGCCAAAGAAGCTGGCTGTTAACAGAGTGCTGTATCCAAGCATGTTAACAGAAAGTTGAGTGGAAGGAAAAAGTGTGGAAGAAAAAGACGCACAACCAACCGAGAGAACCGCAGCCTTATGAATGTGACATGCCAATCAGCTAATCAACTCAAAACACCTGCAAAGGTTTCCTGAGCCTTCAAAATGGTCTCTCAGTTTGGTTCACTAGGCTACACAATCATGGGGAAGACTGCTGATCTGACAGTTGTCCAGAAGACGATCATTGACACCCTTCACAAGGAGGGTAAGCCACAAACATTCATTGCCAAAGAAGCTGGCTGTTCACAGAGTGCTGTATCCAAGCATGTTAACAGAAAGTTGAGTGGAAGGGAAAAGATGCACAACCAACCGAGAGAACCGCAGCCTTATGAGGATTGTCAAGCAAAATCGATTCAAGAATTTGAGTGAACTTCACAAGGAATGGACTGAGGCTGGGGTCAAGGCATCAAGAGCCACCACACACAGACGTGTCAAGGAATTTGGCAACAGTTGTCGTATTCCTCTTGTTCAGCCACTCCTGAACCCCAGACAACGTCAGAGGCGTCTTATCTGGGCTAAGGAGAAGAAGAACTGGACTGTTGCCCAGTGGTCCAAAGTCCTCTTTTCAGATGAGAGCAAGTTTTGTATTTCATTTGGAAACCAAGGTCCTAGAGTCTGGAGGAAGGGTGGAGAAGCTCATAGCACAAGTTGCTTGAAGTCCAGTGTTAAGTTTCCACAGTCTGTGATGATTTGGGGTTCAATGTCATCTGCTGGTGTTGGTCCATTGTGTTTTTTGAAAACCAACGTCACTGCACCCGTTTACCAAGAAATTTTGGAGCACTTCATGCTTCCTTCTGCTGACCAGCTTTTTGAAGATGCTGATTTCATTTTCCAGCAGGATTTGGCACCTGCCCACACTGCCAAAAGCACCAAAAGTTGGTTAAATGACCATGGTGTTGGTGTGCTTGACTGGCCAGCAAACTCACCAGACCTGAACCCCATAGAGAATCTATGGGGTATTGTCAAGAGGAAAATGAGAAACAAGAGACCAAAAAATGCAGATGAGCTGAAGGCCACTGTCAAAGAAACCTGGGCTTCCATACCACCTCAGCAGTGCCACAAACTGATCACCTCCATGCCACGCCGAATTGAGGCAGTAATTAAAGCAAAAGGAGCCCCTACCAAGTATTGAGTACATGTACAGTAAATGAACATACTTTCCAGAAGGCCAACAATTCCAGGGCTCTACAGTGCGACCATTTCAGTCGCATTTGCAACTGAAAACTACTGCGTGCGACTATGAAAACATATTTAGGAGCACCAGTGCGACTGACCAGATCATCAACATACTTGTGATTGCTGAGGGAAGCTTCAAAGGTTTCTGTGTGTTTTTGCAGCGTTGAGTAATGTATCACAGACATATCTCATGAATCCTTTCATAAGCAAAGTGTAGACAGGGTGTAAATAAGAGATTAATTGTGCAGTGTAGAGAGCTTCGTTGATTATAAATGTGAGCTCGCGATGAGCTAAGATGAGGGACAGCTTTTAATGATTCTTAAGGGAGTTTGTAAATGCGATACTGATTTAATACAACAGTTAAATAGACAAGAAGTTAATATTAAGTGACTTACATTGTCTGACTATAACACTATTGTCTGATTTAGCTCTATTTCGTCATCGAAAATAGTTTGAAACAAAGTCACAGCTCAGGCGCTGTGCATCTCCATTCAAACACAGCGGTGTTTCGTTTATGAATGAACTGCATTTTTAAACTAATCTAGTGAGTCAGTGATTCATGATTACCCATTCATAAATACTGTCACTTGCTTCATTCCTGAATGAATCAGCTGTTAGAATGAATCAATTGAATGAATGACTCAGTGATAAAATCAGTGACTCGTCGCCACCTGCTGGCGGATTTAGTTTCATTTTTAAAGGGGTCATATGATGCGATTTCAAGTTTTCCTTTCTCTTTGGAGTGTTACAAGCTGATTGTGCATAGATAAGATCCCTGAAGTTGCAAAGACTAAAGTCTCAAAACCAAAGAGATATTCTTTATCAAAGTTAAGACTCTGCCACGCCCCCCTAAAACGGCTCGTTCTAACACACCCCCACATATCTACCTCACTATGTGGAAATATTAGCATAATGCAGCCCAAATGTGCATGCAAAGAAAGAAGGCGTGGTTTCAGTAACCGCAGTTAGTGTTGAAGCAGCCATGTCAGGGAGACGCTGTGTTTCTAGGCGAAAGCAAAAGCACTTTATTTGGCCTTCCGAAAGTAGATGCATTTAGGAATCTTTAAGATTACTTACAACAGAACAGCAATGCATTTTATGGACGACTGTTTCGTGAACCTAGGAGAGGAGGTAATTCTGACTTTGCTATGACAATCTGGCGCTTCTGAATCAGCTACTGTTTTGTTATTAGTTTAAGTATTTGCTACTGACCAGCGGCGGTTCTAGGGGTGGGGCAGTGCCCCCCTGCCAACAAGCTTGGCCCCCCCTTTGGCCCCCCCTAAATTTGGAATCATATCACACCAAACAATTTTGGGTGAAATGCGCAGTTTGTCCTGTAAACTATGCATATAAAAAAAGAAAAACATCTCCAGCAGATAAATTCAAATCTGCGTTCGCTGACTGGCTATTAACTTCTTGTCAAAATTTTTTTTGAACAGTTTTGCGCATCGTGTGTGTGAGAACCTACAAGCCACTTTTGTGTTCTTCTGTGCTACCTCTGTGCAAATTAATTTTAATACTGATTTCATTTGATTAGTAACGTAATATTCTACTTGTTCTTATTATATGGTTTTATCTAGAATTTTTAAAAAGCTTATACAATTTTTTTTTTTAAATTTGACAAAAGATTACATACTTTTCATAAAGATCGAAAAATGCCATTACAAAGGTAAAAACAAAATTCTACTGTAAATCACTTATCACAAATATCACCTCGTAATGGGAAGGCTATTTTTTTTTATCAAATTTTGGTGCTCCTAAATTTTTGACTGTGCTCCTAAATTTTTTAAGTTAGGAGCACAAGCGCTCCTAAAAAGAAAAATAAGCGTAGAGTGAATTCACTAAAAATGTTTTTTTTATTGGTCTTCTGAAGTATTCTAATTTGTTGAGATAGTGAATTGGTGGGTTTTTGTTAAATGTGAGCCAAAATCATCACAATTAAAAGAACCAAAGACTTAAACTACTTCAGTCTGTGTGCACTGAATTTATTTAATGCACGAGTTTCACAATTTGAGTTGAATTACTGAAATAAATGAACTTTTCCACGACATTCTAATTTATTGAGATGCACCTGTGTGTATATAAGATTTAGAAACTTGCTCTAAACTGCTTGGAGAAAATGTTCCAGAAATATTCCTATTTCACAACATTGACAAAATTACACACTTTGCCACCAGCAGGAATAAAAAAAAAAAGCAAAGAGATGCATATATGAACAATAAAGCTCTGAGAACTTCATTAGGCTTTCCAGCTGGTCCAAAAAAAAAAAATGCATTAAAAAAAATCATTTATACAATAGACATGTTTTTTTAACTTGATGACTTTAAAAAAAGAAAAAAGAAAAAAAAGTGAAGTGTATGCATTTTCTCTTGGACTGTGATCATACATTGGTTTCAAAACTGTTTTGATCTAGAATACTTTCTGCATGTATTCTATTACTGTTCTGTTCTAATTATGTCCTCCAAACTAAAACTCCAGTCTTCATATTCCTTGTTTTACTGGTTAAATTGACCAGAAAGCCAATAACAAGCTATTTAACTGAGACGGGGCATGTTGTCAGAAAAGGCCAACATGTTCGATAAATCTTTCATGAGTACCATCAGCAGAGCTGTTGAACAACCAATTATGTGTAGACTTCTGCAGACTCAAGAATGAAAGAATTTTAAGTATTAATGTGTGCAATACGGACAGTAATGTCACATTTATAAAACTGGCATTCTACAAACACGTATATGAATAATAAAATGTCCTCAAATAGTCGGTTTTACAACCGTTATCCTAGAAATCAACAATTGTTGCGTGTTGTCTAGAATGCAATATAGCAGGATCTTGTCAAGACCCAAATCACGCTTCACTCGCGTTTCTCAGCAGTCCTGACTCCTGACCGCTCGCTCCACTGATATATTATCGCTCGATTCAGTGATGTTGTGTCATGTAAACGTTCCTTCGTTCTAAACCAGCTAGACTGAGCCCAACGCGATAGCAGAACGCAGCGTTCAAACAAGGCGCGAGACGTAAAACATTGAGGCGCAACACAGCGACGTCGATCTGACGGATGCATGACAACAATAAACACCACATATAGAACGCAATAATAAACCTCCAACACACAAGAGCGAGAAAGTGTTGCAACAGTGCTCTCTTTCACGAAAGCGTTTCCATTTAAAGTTCAAGGCATAAACAAACGAGCCGGACTTGTACAGAAAACAACGCGTTTTGCAAGGTGTTATTTACCTGAGGTTCTCAGGCGTGAAGGCTCTGTTCAGATCCGTGTCGATGTACCTGGTACATTTCTCCACTGCTCTAGGGTTGCTTATGAACGGCTTGACCACCAGTCCGTTTCTCTCTATCTCGGCTGAATTCTGTATCCACATATTTACCAGCGTTATGCCAGACATCTCGTTTCCATGTGTGCCTCCAAAAATAGCCACTCGTTTGGCTTCTTGTAAACAAGAAATATTAGTTCGCGAACTCATAGCGACAGCGTTACAGGCGCGCGCGACTTAGAAAGACGAGAGCGCAAAGTTTGCACACAACTGCTGTTTCCTCGAGTCGCCGGTGAGATGTGACTGCTGTTGTGTAATGCTTATTTGAAGGCTAAGTCCAGGGCATAACCGCGTCCGTGGGTCATCTAGCCTACGTTTAACGCGCATGGGTCGGGTTTCACAATCGCCCTGTGGCTTATCGAGCGATTAGATATTAGTCGTGGTCATGTCACAGGAGATTACACGCGGAAAATAAATAATAAACGCGAGCAGGTGGCCTATGCACCTATGCAAACTAAACATAGTGGGTCAACTGAAAAAAATGATCTATATAGTGAATAGGAGAATAGTATTTACTCCAACTCATTATTATTTACCCTGTTGCAAAATCAAAGTAGGTTAGTGGGATTTAAAATATTAGTATTTCTATATAAAGAGATTTCGATCATTAAAAAAGACTTACGAAGAAAGACTGTGAAATCACACAAGTAATGCTGTTGTAAGCCGCAAGTAATCAGTAGTGATGAAATTCATGAGTGTGATATAGCTTTTACACATCAGTTCAACAAACTTAAAACAGAAAAAAATTAAATAAAACAATACAATACAAAAACAGAACTTCAACCTTTGCATGTCATGAGCTATGCAAACACTTTCTGAATGAATTGCTTTAGTGAATGATTACTGATTGGTTTATCATTGACTGGCATAATGACATAATTTGCAGAAAACAAAATCACTGAACAATTCCCACCACCAATGCATAGACGTGGATTATTTCAAATTCGAAAAATAGATGTGCTGTTTTTTTATGAAATGTTAATATAAGGATGAGAGTAATAGCTACCCCAAAATTAAAATTGTCATCATATACTTACTCTCGTGTTGTTCCAAACCTGTATAACTTAGCCTACTTTCTTTGGTGAAACAGAAGTTATTCTGATGAACGCCACCAAACTGTTCTGGTGCCCAATGATTTCCATTTTAAAGAAAGAAAAGAAAAGGAAGGAAAGAAAGAAAGAAAGATAGATAGATAAAAAGATCTGTCAGTCAACATCCAGCAAAATGAATTAGAAGACATGAAACTATCCACACATAAAATATAATCACTCAAACAAAATGTTAAGATTTAGCTCTTGATAAAGAGAAAGAAAAAGACAAATATCAGGTCAGTAAAGGTGTTTATCACATGGGGAAAGCAGTTATATTTTATTTCTCTGAAGCAGAGTAACAAAGTGTCCATAACGCAAATGTATAAAATAGGTCAAAATTATATTGACCAAACACATTGCCTCTGTACAAAAATACTCTGATTCTGATCATAAAAATGATACAGTGCTCTAGAAGAGATTGTATAATTTGGCTGTACAATGATTTAATAAACCGAAGGAAAATGTTCTGATTATTAAAAATAAATCCATTGTCAATAGAATGTTGATCATCTACACATCTACAAAACAAGTAACAATAATAATGTACAGGTGTTTGCAGGTTTCATGTTTCGCAAAACAATTCTTTAAAAATAAATTGAACAATGATTTAATCACAGATTTAGACATTTTGTTTATATTAATCTGTAAACCTCTCTTTGCGTTCACATTTTCTTGGCCATTTATCATGAACAGAAAACCTTTCACTAACACTTTATGCAAATAGCTCGTCTTAAATGCCTGAGAGGTTAAGATGGTTTTTCTTTCGCAACGGTTTAACTGAGCTCTAAAGTTATCCGCCACTGCGTTATTGCTTTTGATCATTTTCCTCCTCCCCTTATTATTCTGTGTAACTAATATACCATCATCATCTTCTGCCCACACTTTTCTATTGTGCACTGAAGAGTCTTAGCTATCAAGTACAGATAAACTTTCCTCCCTTCTTTTCCTCTTTTTCTTGCTTTTGTGCAACATCACATCATCAATCTGAGACACAGATGATTCTCTTGCCCCAGATCCCTCCTTTAGGTGATTCTCTTCATAGGTATCATGTTTTCTGTGTGAATGAAGAAAGTTATTTGCACTACACTCAGTTTGAACACAACCTGCTCTGTCATGACACCTTTGCCTCTGTTTTTCAGGTCTTTTGGGTGAGTCAGTGTTCTGAGACATGGAGATTTCCGTTATATTATTTTCAGTATCCTTCTTCCTCTTCTTTTTTTTCTTTCTAATATCTGCAGAATCATCTCCCAGTGAGATGATAATGTTGGCCTGTCTGTCTGCATTGTTGTGATGTATGATTGAGTCAGTCCTCGTTGTTTGTACAGTTTCTAGTTCTGCACTATCATCCGGTATGTGATTTATGCTTTCATTCATTTCCTTGTTTTTCTTTCTCTTGGTTTTCTTTGTAATTGCTTCAAGTGATTTCAACATCGGGCTCGGAGACTTTTCAAACGGCACTGTATGATCAGAACTTTCCAAAGTCAGTTCACCACCTACATCTGTGATGTGATCAGAGTTTCTTTTTTTCTTCCTCTTCCTCTCAGCTGCGACAGTTTCCTGCGTTTGTGCATCAGAAGAGCTGAACTCAGAACTGTTATTAACAGACAAACCGGATCGTTTCCTCTTCTTTTTGTGTTTAGTGTCATTTAATTCAGCTTCTGAATGTTCAAGAACATCACTTGGTCTTTCTTCAACAGTCTTTAAAGTAGTTGATCTATCAGTGACATTATTAAACTGAGACACTGAGTTTACATCCAGAGCAAAATCAACAGATTCATACTGAGATTCTTCACTGCCATTCTTCTTCTTCTTCCTCACTGATTTTAATCCTGTGATTTCCTCTGATGTCTGTATATGCTCAGGTTGTTCGGTCTCGGGAGCTTCAGAAGTTTCATTTGACAGGATGTCTGTACCACTATTGTCCTCTACGTGTGCCGTCTTTGTCCTCTCTTTGTCTTTTCTCTTCTTTTTTGTTCTTTTGGGTGGCATCTCAGTTGTTTGTGACTCTCTGAACTGATCCATCTCAACTGAATGAACATTGTCTGCACCAGACTCTGCTTCCTCTTGCTCTTTTAATTTGTGCTTTTTCTTCTTTTTCTCCTTACTGGTAAACAGAGATGGAGAACTTGCATTATCATCATGCTCCATGTGAACAGCTGCTTCTGTAACTGCCTCTAAAGAGTTTCTCTGCGTCTCTTCAATTACCACTAAATGATCTCCATCCAAGTTCTCAGCACACTGGACAGTCTGCTTAGTAAGTCGATGTCTGCAATGGGCAGAATCTGAACATGAAGCTAAAACCTCATGCGTCTCATGCTGTTTTTCCTGCTCCATAAAGAGAGAGTCAACAGACGATTCTGATGATGTCCTGGCTGCAGCTCTGCTTTTGGGAGCTTCGACTTTGCTTTTTGATTGTTTTTTAATAGAAGCACTTGCCTTGCTTTTCTTGGTAGATTTAGTTTTTCTTTTCTTTTCTTTTCCTTTGGTGTTGAATAGCTGTTCTTCGTTGTTGTCTGAAAGTGAACCCTGGATCCTCATCTCCAAGAAGGATTGTGGAAGCCATTTTTGTTTGTTTCCTTTAAAGTAACTTGGAACAAAAATGGTTTTATCCTGGAAAAAAAAAATCAATAGATTAGGTGAGCATTATATGATCCTTCAGAAATAATACTAATATGCTAATTTGCTGATCAAGAAACATTTCTTAGTATTACGAAAGTATTCATTTCTTTAATAATTTAATGCCCCTAAAATACATTAGTATTGTACTGTCAAAAATTCAAATTTTACACCGACTACTTAATATAATTTCTTCAACACGAATGCATGTAGATGTTAGAGTGACTATATTTCTTAGAGAATATTTAAAAAAAAAAAACAACAACAAATAAATATAAAACTAAAGCATATTTTGTACTATGCAAGTCCATAGTAATAACATACCACTTTTGTGACTTCATGATCACTGTTGTGGTCGTCCCCCTCAGAGTTATCACTTAGTCTGAAATTGAAGGTTATTCATCATGAAAAACTATTATATTCCGTTTAAAATTATATTTGTTTGGTTTGTTTGTAATTAGAACTTACTCAGACTCCAGTATAGATGGACTGATTGCTCTTCCTGTGTTCACACAACCCTCCTCGATTTTCCTTATGCATTTTAAAAAACCTCCCATTTCTGAGTTCTAAAAAACAAATATACATTTTTAATACACATGCATAATTTAATAACATGTTATAGCATAGGAATGTAGATGTAGATGCCACATTCGACCACTCCAGACCTGTCCACACGTCTGGCATCTTGAAACAGTCACAGTAAAAATCAATGACTTTGCCAAAATGAGATTTCATTTCCTGAAGAAATGGGACAGCCTTTCACAGGTGACAATGTGGTTGTTTATGCTTTTAAATGTGTTAACTCAACATTAGAGGTTTTTAAACTATAGTAACTTTTAATGTTGTGCTAGCTAACACCTTTGTCTTGTTGTCCCAGGTGAAAAAAGTGACTTTATTTCAGTACACTTCCATAATACACTTTATTTCAGTACACTTCCATAATACACTTTATTTCAGTACACTTCCATAATGTACTTAAAGTGCTCTGTTTTCACGCACAAATTTTGTACTTAATATACTAAAAATTATTCTTTAGTACTTCTTAAGATAATCATAAGAACATCTAAGTGTACTCAACTGTGCTATTTTGGGACACCATGAATATGAACTAAAATGTGCTATTAAGATACTTTCTCTGTAAAAAAAAATAAAAATAATAATAATTGTATTTACTTACCACTTGTAGTACAATTGAAACCAACTTTTAGACACTTTTAAGTATACTCAATATACATAGAAAATACATTAATTATTTAAAATTTAATATATAATGAATATATATAAAATGTATGTATAATATTGATTGCTCACATATTTTTAATAGATTAAATTCATTTCAAATGTATTGTAATTATGTTAGTATTCCCTTTATACGATATACTTAACTACATGCTTATGGTGTCTTTAAATAGTACAATCAAGTACACTATTACTATGTCATTAGTAGCATTTTCCAGATTAAAATACAGCACTTCAAGTACTTTACACTAAAAGTATACTTACTGTTAAATTGTGAATTTTGATACACATGAATGAGTAATCCAATCATGTGCTATTAGTGCATTTATAGTAGCCTAGGCACAGTAACCTATAGGGTTATAAGTAATACATTTATACTGTATTTTTTTATGAAAATCCAAACAGAACTTAGTGATAGTATATATAAAAATCCACTAAAATTGTATGTAAAGCGATCACAGCACACTTTTAAGCAATGCAATTATAAAACACATCTGGTACTTTATCTGACTACCCTTAAAATCAGTTAGAGCTAATTGTGTTAGTGCATTTATATTAAGTGTACTTAAGTAGCACAGTTGAGAAACTGTTCTTCTAACTATTACATTACTAATATATTTTAAACAAAATCAATTTAAACTTAGGATAAACTATATAAAAGTGTAATAATATTAAACATATAAAAATCCACTAAAATTGTATGTAAAGCGATCACAGCACACTTTTAAGCAATGCAATTATAAAACACATCTGGTACTTTATCTGACTACCCTTAAAATCAGTTAGAGCTAATTGTGTTAGTGCATTTATATTAAGTGTACTTAAGTAGCACAGTTGAGAAACTGTTCTTCCAACTATTACATTACTAATATATTTTAAACAAAATCAATTTAAACTTAGGATAAACTATATAAAAGTGTAATAATATTAAAATAATTTTTAAATCATTCAAAGCACACATTTTAGTAATCGAGTATTCTACCGATTAATCGAGGATTCGGATAAAAAGTCATTTTTCTTTATTAAAGAACCATACTTAATATTCAAGAGAAAATAAGATACATTATTATAAACATACATTAATAACCATGAAACCTAATCCCATTTAATTGCCAAATTAAATTCAAAATCCAAATCCAAATATATCAATAAAAATAAATCAAATAAATAAAAATACACAAATCAATTTCAAAGTTTACAAAAAAGGTAAACATTACAACCTAAAACTAAGGTATAAATCAAGAAATATAAAAATCAATTTCACATTACTTTAAAAAAAGGTAAATAGTATAAACCTAAAACTAAGGCATAAATCAAAATAATAGTAATAAAAATAATAATACCTAAACATTGCATTTATGTCGTGCAAATTAACTTTGAAGTTTCAGCCTAACTAAAGCTCAAGCATGACATAAGCCTTTACTGTCTTCTTGGAAATCTTTGTGGCTTTTGTGAGAGGCAAAAATCAGTGGACAGGAAGATAACTTGGAACAAGAACAAGAGTCCATACACATTTTTCTGCAACATGAAATTAAGAGTTATTTGGAGAATAAACCCGCTTAAATGTCTCTCTACGTACTGGTGTGTGTGTGTGTGTTTGTGTAAAACTTGTTTTTGATATCCTTTATATTCTGTGTGCTGGTCAGTTCACATCAGTGATAGAAATTAATCTTTTCCAATACGTTTAAATGGATTTTTACCTTTATAAAGGCATTTTTTTCTAAAAGTGTCCATTATCTTTTGAGTCAAATTCTTACATTTAATCAGTGAATTAGAATAATAAGACATTTGGGCTGTTACCAAACAAATTATATCAGTATCAACAAAATTAATCTTTGCAACGCAGAGGAAAGAAGCTGCATCTGAAGAGGCATTTAGATGTATGCCTATTTACACACCATTTAATTCAGCTCAGAGGGACATGACTGCATTCAACCTGCAGTTACAAACGCATGAATAATATTTTGTTATTTTAAACATAAAACATTGAATACTGATATTTACTATTATTTAAAGAATGTAAAGATACTTTAAATGTGAAATTAAAACCGACAGTAGGTGGTCACTGTTTATAAGTGATTCAGTGTGATTGAACCGAATCATTTAAACGGTTGATTCATTCAGGAACGAAACACCGTCATGTTGCTCAGAGACACAAAACAGTGCTGTGGCTATGTTTGGAATTATTTTTGTTGGCGAAATAGAGCAAAAACAGGCAATATAGTGTCTAAGACGTAAGTCTCTTAATATTAACTTCTTGTTTATTGAACCGTTGCATAAAATCAGCATCACATTTGTAATCATGCTTATTTTTAGCGCTGAAAACTGACACTCTTTGTGTGATATTGACTCACTTTTTTTCTGTGGTATTTTTATGCATAACTGTATGGGGAGTGTGTCTGTGTGTGTGTCACAGAGAGAGAATAAGACAATCAACATGAATGGCGCTTAGTCTCAGCTAACTTGTGGACATCATAACTAGCCACCATATTGATTTATGGTCTTAAATATGTCCAGCGTTTATCGGGTTGTGCGTCAGTAATAATGGTCCGTGGGGAAACAGTGTTCCGTGTGTAGTTACAGTAAATGGACTAAACGAAGCCTCGAAACGATGATTTTTTTGTATTCGAGTTACTCGAGGAATCGTTTCAGCCCTAGTGTGTAATTTTTATTTAGCTCAAAAAATAAGAATGTACTACAAATGTACTTGCTTGCATTTAAGTATTTTTCAGAGCATTCAAGTACACATTATTTTTACCTGGGGATTGTTAGTGGGTCATTCCGTGTCAAATCAACCAAATTTCTAAATATTCCCAGCCTCGAAACGATGATTTTTTTGTATTCGAGTTACTCGAGGAATCGTTTCAGCCCTAGTGTGTAATTTTTATTTAGCTCAAAAAATAAGAATGTACTACAAATGTACTTGCTTGCATTTAAGTATTTTTCAGAGCATTCAAGTACACATTATTTTTACCTGGGGATTGTTAGTGGGTCATTCCGTGTCAAATCAACCAAATTTCTAAATATTCCCCAGCTCAAATTTTTTCTGAAGAAAGACATACATGTATAGTGATGAAAGCCAAAATATTAAATGTCATGGATGAATATTTACAGAGTAATCCACTATTTTGCAGAGGGGGGTCAAAATTGCAATTTTCACCTGAGATTCAGAGCCAAATTACAGGGGGGTAATAATGACTTCAGAAAGATGGCAGCATCATAATGTTATTTTTACACAGAGATTGGTAGATCTGTTAGTCAAATCTGTTGACTTTAACAATATTTGTTGCATTATGTGCCAATGGTGACCATTCAAAAATGGGCAAACAGCACTTTTCAAGTTTTTTCTCCAAGGTTTGCATGCTTGTAACTCAAGAAGTATTAAAGATATCTTAATGCCCCTTTAGATATTGGGTCTTAAACTTTCCTTTTGGTATCTTCTCGTATTTTTAAGGTCCTATATGGTTCGGTTCCAGAGATATTGGAATTTCAATATGGCTTCAGGAGTAAATTGTTAAAATGTACACATTTTCAGTGGTCAAAAACCAAATGTGGGTCAATTTGCAAAAATATGATACTTCTTTTCTTTGAAAGAGGAATGTCTGAAGAACAAATAATGTTGAAACTAGAGATGCATCTCGTTTACTTCTGTCAAAACAACTGCATTGAACATACCTTTCTGAGTGTCTTAAATATTATTTTTCCAAAGTTTGCGCGCCTATAACTCAAGAAGTATTAAAGATATTGCAATATGATTTTAGATTCTAGTTCTTAATAAACTTTTCTTTTGGAATCTTCATTTTCAAGGCCCTACATCGTTCAGTCTCAGAGATATGAGGATCTCAATGAGGCTACATTTTCAGATTGTTGAATTAACCTATTTTCAGTGGTTGAAAACCAAATGTTGGTCACTTTGTATACAGCGGATACTTATTGTATTTAAAGCAGAATGTCTGAAGAATAGGTCATGTTGAAACTAGGAATGCATCTTTCCCTCTATCAAAACAATATGCGCAGAAAATACCTGTCGGAGTGCTAAAAAGGCCCTGTAATGGTCTCCAATTTTTTGTATTCGAGTTACTCGAGGAATCGTTTCAGCCCTAGTGTGTAAATTTTATTTAGCTCAAAAAATAAGAATGTACTACAAATGTACTTGCTTGCATTTAAGTATTTTTCAGAGCATTCAAGTACACATTATTTTTACCTGGGGATTGTTAGTGGGTCATTCCGCAGCTCAAATTTTTTCTGAAGAAAGACATACATGTATAGTGATGAAAGCCAAAATATTAAATGTCATGGATGAATATTTACAGAGTAATCCACTATTTTGCAAAAATGGGCAAACAGCACTTTTCAAGTTTTTTCTCCAAGGTTTGCATGCTTGTAACTCAAGAAGTATTAAAGATATCTTAATGCCCCTTTAGATATTGGGTCTTAAACTTTCCTTTTGGTATCTTCTCGTATTTTTAAGGTCCTATATGGTTCGGTTCCAGAGATATTGGAATTTCAATATGGCTTCAGGAGTAAATTGTTAAAATGTACACATTTTCAGTGGTCAAAAACCAAATGTGGGTCAATTTGCAAAAATATGATACTTCTTTTCTTTGAAAGAGGAATGTCTGAAGAACAAATAATGTTGAAACTAGAGATGCATCTCGTTTACTTCTGTCAAAACAACTGCATTGAACATACCTTTCTGAGTGTCTTAAATATTATTTTTCCAAAGTTTGCGCGCCTATAACTCAAGAAGTATTAAAGATATTGCAATATGATTTTAGATTCTAGTTCTTAATAAACTTTTCTTTTGGAATCTTCATTTTCAAGGCCCTACATCGTTCAGTCTCAGAGATATGAGGATCTCAATGAGGCTACATTTTCAGATTGTTGAATTAACCTATTTTCAGTGGTTGAAAACCAAATGTTGGTCACTTTGTATACAGCGGATACTTATTGTATTTAAAGCAGAATGTCTGAAGAATAGGTCATGTTGAAACTAGGAATGCATCTTTCCCTCTATCAAAACAATATGCGCAGAAAATACCTGTCGGAGTGCTAAAAAGGCCCTGTAATGGTCTCCAAGATTCTTCAAGAAACCTACATGCTAATAATTATAAAACGACATAAGACATGTATACACAAATAATTACACATAAATAAACCCCACCTCTAGAATCTGGTGCTTCTTTGAGGACAGGTGCTGTCGTCTGAGTGATTTCGACAGAAATGGAAAGGTAGTTTTTCGAGTAGAAATATAGATGGAACTTTTTCTTCTCTTTGGGCACTCCGCACGCTGACCTCCACTTCCCCTCTCATTTTCAGTGTCTTCATTCTCTCTCCCATTACCAGAATCATCAGAGACGGACTCTGGTCTCTTAGATGATCCAAGTCGTCTTTCAGTTCGGACTGCTTTAGTCTTAGACTGTGTTATAAACAGGCTTTCACCAGAGTCACTGTACAGGAGAATGCAGAGATGTGATGCAGTGCATGAGAAAACATGTTCAAGTGAAAGACTTCAGTAAAATTAGAAACTTCATCTCAAAACATTATTAGATGATTTTATGGTATAGGGCTTCACAAAGATTAAACTAATTATTCGGCTCAAAAATTCTAATCACAATTATTAATCGGGAAATTTCTTTTTACATTTCATTAGAATTGTTGCACTCATATGAGCAAATTAAGAAAATGTCAACTCAACTGCAAGGTTTATTTTAATTTATTTCTCTGATTATGAAAACTGGTATAACCTTAAGGAGCTTCTCTCAAAAGCTAAACCATTGAAATTCCAAATATTACAATAATTCCAAATTATGTTAATGTTTCTATTAAAACAACAAAAAATACTTCATATTGCAGCACATGAGAAACAATCCAGCATTTTAAAATGTCAAACTAATGTATACTTGGATCATTTTCAATCTGGTTTCTGACGGCATCAGATCATAATCTGACTGCATCATAATCCTAACCTTTACCTCCACACCAAAATCTCAAATGGACAGAAAAGGATTCATCTTTTGTGAATCGTTTAAAAATAAAAATTGGTGAGGTCGGAGAATGTAGTGTACACACTGGGAGCTTAGCTTGAAGTTGTGCTATAAATGGTGCTCATATGCAGCTGTTCAACTTGAAGAGGCAGCTTGAACCTTGAAAATGTAATAAATACATCAGGAGTGTGCGATATATATCGTCTGTGATAATATCGTAATTGTTGTTTTAACGATGTGCGATTTCACATTTTCGAGTATTTTACAAAAACTATTAAAAACAGTGCACGCATACATTACATGAAATCTAGAGACTAAAGTTAGTGCGAGTGCGCATTTAGATTGCATTCTTTCATTGCATGAATGATTCAGTCAGTCTATTAAAATACATTCAGAATGATCACAAATTCAAGACATGGGGACAGAAAATGTATGTATTTATACCACTTCATATAGTTAATAAATTTCAAACGAAGAGTGCTGTTTTTTCTCCAAAGATTTTTATACATCAGTTCAATAAACAAGAAGAGACTTACGTTTTAGACACCATATTTCCTGTTTATGCGGCATCTTGACAACAAAAAATCATTCCAAACATAGCCACAGCACTGTTTTGAGTATCTGAGCAAAATGACGGTGTTTTGTTCCTGAATGAATCAACCGTTTAAATGATTCGGTTCAATCTTAACAGTGACTTGCTGCCACCTGCTAGTGCTTTGATTTCACATTTAAAGCTTCTTTTTATTATTTAAATAATTTTAAATAACAGTAGTCAACGTTTTATGTTTAATATATCAAAACATTATTCATGCATTTGTAATTGCAGGTTAAATGCATTCATGTCCTGCATTAAACAGTGTGTATACATCTAAATGCCACTTTAGATGCAGCTTCTGTGTTTCCTCTGCATTGCAAAGATGAATTTTGTTGATACTGATTTCATAATTCACTGATTAAATGTAAGAATATGAGTCAAAAGATAATGGACACTTTTAGAAAAAAATGGCTTTATAAAAGGTAAAAATGCCCATAAAATGTAAAAATCAATTTAAGATTTTTTTATATCAGTGTGAACTGACCACCACACAGAATATGAAGAATACCAAAAACAGGTGCTGGGGGGCGCGAGCATCAGTTAATTCAGAGACATTCCCTTGAGGATTTATGAATATGAGTCAGCAAATATTTAGCCATTCAATAGGGGGCAATCTGACTCCCACTGCTACTCGACAGTTTGAGCAGAGTTGGCTCGAGTATCAGTCACGCTTATTGACAGTGTAAGATGATTTACAGTTAGCCGTGTCGGAAATCCAACCACGGACTGGCATGTTATCTTAGAAACAGGCTTAGCCATCACATTAAATCAGGTAAACTGGTTATATATTTATATTTCAGTATAATTACGTACACTATACCAGAGGTGTTTCTAAACCCTTTTTAGGTGGGTTTCAGGCCCCTATCTGTCACCTTAGCCCCCCAAAACTATCTTAACGATCAGGCCAGTGCTGCTTCCTCAAGAAAGTTTTTCATTCTCACGTGTTTTAAGTCTGGTCAGTTTAAACACTAAAGTAATTTTAAGCCATTTAAGCCCAAGACATCTCAATGCGGTACCCACGTAGGCCTGTCGCAATAATCAATATATCGACTTATCGCGCAATATATGTACATGACCTCAATAATTTTTTTGTGACGCAATATATCGCCCATTATATTTACTTAAAAATTTATGTCACTATATTTTGTACATTCCACTTGCGCCTGTGTCTTTTGCAGCTTCTTGTACATAATGTGGTGTAGTCATTAGATGCTAGTTCAAATAAAAAAAAAAATGCTTCTACAAAAAAAGTTTCATCTGCAGATATGGCCTTGTTTAGAGATCTGTGCCTTTGTTCATACAGTCATCTGACTGCTAAGTTGTGATTGTGTTTTTAAGCAATAGTGTGCACCCTTAATTTACAGAGAAAAGAAGGTCAGGGAAAAATCTCCATACTAGTTCTTTGTGCATTTTTCTTTTTTTTTCTACTTGTTGCTTTGCACGTTTTGTTAGAAAATGTTTATTTACTATTTATTCAGGTATCTAATACTTTGATACTTAAATTTCCATGCTCTAAATATTCTTAAAAATTAAAAGTTTGTTGTCATTTGGAAGTGTGTAGGCCTTCTTGCATTATTATTCCGTTACATTATGATTATATATTCAGTGGCATAAAATGGTGTTTAAAATGACAATAATATCGCTTATCGCAATTATTTCTGGGGCAATATATCGCACAACAAAAAGTGGTCATCGTGACAGGCCTATACTCACGCACTGTGATAGAGCGTTTCTATCCACCTGAAGAGCCTTCTCAGACAGCAGGTCAATACCAATGGCTGTCTTCACAAGTATCCTTGTAAGCACAGTCGGTTGTTTTAAGTGAACGTAAACAGTAAAGAAAATATCAGATGTACATCACTATAACGGATCCGTGCATTTCTTATATAAATGTTCATCAAAAAGAGCAAAAGAAAAATCATTCACTGCTTTAATAGCTTTAATGGATATTTGCGTTATGTTGATGTTAATAAAGTAATTCGGTGTGAATACAGTAATGGTGGGGGGGAAATTAGACAAACTTGGGGGGGCATGTCCTAAAAGGTTGAAAACACCTGACTTAGGTTAAATTGATTCCAGTGTATGTTTAGCCTCTCACCGAGGTATACGAGGCAAAATATTTAAAGATTAATAGAAGCAACACAACCGCACGTCTAGTTTCCAATACAAGTCTTGTTTACCTGTCCGAAGAAGGTTGGTGGACATCACTTCTTTTCTCCACGGTGCTGGTGAACTGCTCAAAACACTCATTGATCGTGTCGACAACATCAGGCGGGGGAGTTTCGAAGATGAGCTCCGAGTGCGGATCAATGTCGATCAGATCTCCAACGTGCGCCACAACCGGTGCATTCTTCCGCGAGCTCGGCGACGCAAGCTGGGTTGTGTCGTCTCCGCTGCTGAGAGCCATACTTCTTTAATCCACTGAGCTGGTGAATTATCATGTATTCCTACCACGGGAGACTTGCACGATGTGGGAAATCACTGACTTATGAAACACCGACTATTTCTGCTACAGATTAAGCACGAACACAAAAGTACTGGCCAAAAAAAAAATTCAATAAAAAATCAGAAAACGTTGTCTCTATGCCAAACATATCCACGTGTTAACCATATGCACGGTTCTGTTTTCATTTAGCGGGCGCCATTCAGTTCCGCACACTCGCCCAGGAAATACGTCAGCTGGTGATTGGTAGCGCGCATGCGCATGTCATCCATCTTCTTCTTCTTCTTCTTCTTCTTCTTTGACGTTTTATGGTGGTTGGCAAACCAGCTTTAGGTGCACTTACCGCCACCTACTAGGATGGAGTGTGGAGCAATGACGTTAAAGGAAAACTAAAAATATATAAATATATAAAAATAAAAAAAATTAATTTGTATTGATTCTTTAAATCCTGTTTATTAACTCTGTATCTTTGAGATACTTAAATAATATGTGAAACATTTCTATAGTCACATCTTTATTTAACAATTTCTGAAGTGAGATCTGATTTATTTCTATATGAAGTGCTTCTGTAAGTTGTACTCTTTCATTGTCATATCCCTTACATTTGATTAAAATATGTTCAACTGTTTCAAGACGATCACGTTTCATCTTCTTCTTCTTTTTAGTTTTTACTAAAAAGTGTTTACCTACTGGACTGGAGTGTGGAGCATGCCGTATATTGGTGACAGCATGTAGAAAATAAAAAATAAATCAATCAAATAACCTTTAGTTTGACCAAAGGAGTATTACACAAGGATACAGTTATTTGATATACTTCATTATGTGATCTTCAAATTCTATTTATTAAACCTATTGCTTTCAAATAATTAATAATTGCATTATAGACGTTATACTGTGCTGGAGCATACTCTAGTATTGTCTTTATTGTTATTCTTTCAATATTCAACAAACTTAATTCTTCTATTAATCGCATTCTTTCTCTTTCATATGCTTCACAATGTAATAGGATATGTTCCACAGTCTCTGGTATACCACAATTATTCATGTTTACCAATAATAAATAATGATTGATTAAGAGCTGTGTGACCAATACGGAGTCTAGATATTATTGTGTCCTCCTTCCTACTTCCAAAGTTTTTCCTTCCATTTCCAACTTGTTTTTGAATGTTGTATAGATGCCGACCCTTTACCTCCCTATCCCACATCTTTTGCCATTTCCTAATCATAGCCCCTCTGATTATTCCTTTCATTTCTGCTTTACTAAGTGATATATTTATATCTATATCGGTTTGTTTTAATGCCTTCTTGGCCATTTGATCAGCTTCCTCATTTCCCTCTATCCCAACATGTGCCGGTACCCATAAAAATGAAATACTTAATCTATATTGGTGAATTTTGAACATGCTTTGTAGGATATCATATAATATGTCTTGTCTAGATGTAGACTTGCCACTTAATAAACTTATTAAGACAGAATAAGAGTCTGAGCAAATAACTGTTCTTAATGGCTGTATTTCCTCGACCCAATTAAGAGCTATCAGAATGGCTATCATTTCTGCTGAATAAACTGATAAATGATTACTTGTCCTTTTTGCAATTTTAATCTTAAAATGAGGAATGCATATAGAAACTGCTGTATTTCCTGAAACAGGATCTTTGGCTCCATCTGTAAATATTTTAATTTCCTGACTATAATTTTGATCTGAACTGCTCAAAACACTCATTGATCGTGTCGACAACATCAGGCGGGGGAGTTTCGAAGATGAGCTCCGAGTGCGGATCAATGTCGATCAGATCTCCAACGTGCGCCACAACCGGTGCATTCTTCCGCGAGCTCGGCGACGCAAGCTGGGTTGTGTCGTCTCCGCTGCTGAGAGCCATACTTCTTTAATCCACTGAGCTGGTGAATTATCATGTATTCCTACCACGGGAGACTTGCACGATGTGGGAAATCACTGACTTATGAAACACCGGCTATTTCTGCTACAGATTAAGCACGAACACAAAAGTACTGGCCAAAAAAGAAATTCAATAAAAAATCAGAAAACGTTGTCTCTATGCCAAACATATCCACGTGTTAACCATATGCACGGTTCTGTTTTCATTTAGCGGGCGCCATTCAGTTCCGCACACTCGCCCAGGAAATACGTCAGCTGGTGATTGGTAGCGCGCATGCGCATGTCATCCATCTTCTTCTTCTTCTTCTTCTTCTTCTTTGACGTTTTATGGTGGTTGGCAAACCAGCTTTAGGTGCACTTACCGCCACCTACTAGGATGGAGTGTGGAGCAATGACGTTAAAGGAAAACTAAAAATATATAAATATATAAAAATAAAAATAATTAATTTGTATTGATTCTTTAAATCCTGTTTATTAACTCTGTATCTTTGAGATACTTAAATAATATGTGAAACATTTCTATAGTCACATCTTTATTTAACAATTTCTGAAGTGAGATCTGATTTATTTCTATATGAAGTGCTTCTGTAAGTTGTACTCTTTCATTGTCATATCCCTTACATTTGATTAAAATATGTTCAACTGTTTCAAGACGATCACGTTTCATCTTCTTCTTCTTTTTAGTTTTTACTAAAAAGTGTTTACCTACTGGACTGGAGTGTGGAGCATGCCGTATATTGGTGACAGCATGTAGAAAATAAAAAAAAAAATCAATCAAATAACCTTTAGTTTGACCAAAGGAGTATTACACAAGGATACAGTTATTTGATATACTTCATTATGTGATCTTCAAATTCTATTTATTAAACCTATTGCTTTCAAATAATTAATAATTGCATTATAGACGTTATACTGTACTGGAGCATACTCTAGTATTGTCTTTATTGTTATTCTTTCAATATTCAACAAACTTAATTCTTCTATTAATCGCATTCTTTCTCTTTCATATGCTTCACAATGTAATAGGATATGTTCCACAGTCTCTGGTATACCACAATTATTCATGTTTACCAATAATAAATAATGATTGATTAAGAGCTGTGTGACCAATACGGAGTCTAGATATTATTGTGTCCTCCTTCCTACTTCCAAAGTTTTTCCTTCCATTTCCAACTTGTTTTTGAATGTTGTATAGATGCCGACCCTTTACCTCCCTATCCCACATCTTTTGCCATTTCCTAATCATAGCCCCTCTGATTATTCCTTTCATTTCTGCTTTACTAAGTGATATGTTTATATCTATATCGGTTTGTTTTAATGCCTTCTT